TCTATTGACTTATTTTTCTCCTGGAAAGTCATTTTCCAGTTCTTTGTAGGTCTGGTAACCTACAAAGTATAGTATACATTGTGGATATTACATTGCTGGCTTTTTTTCTTTATACTGAGCTTTATTCTAACAGGTACTTAATTTACCTGCAGATCAGTTTAGTCCTTTGAGGCTTGTTTTAAAGCAGAGTATGGCTCATACCTGCTTTTGTAAATGAATTTTATTGGAACACAGCCATGCTCATTTGTTCCGTATTGTCTGTGGCTGCTTTTACACTACAATAGCAGAGTTGAGAATTTGTAACTGAGACCAACCATATGGCCTGCAAAGCCTAAAATATAGTTGACCCTTGAACAAGGAGGGAGTTAGAGGTGCTGATCCCCCCTGCAGGTGAAAATCTATGTGTAACTTACAGTTGGCCTTCTATATATGGGTCCTCTGTATCCATGGTTTATCTGTGGTTCTGCATCCTTGGATTCCACCAACATGGATCATATTGTATTTAGTACTGGAAAAAATCTGTGCGTTAGTTCAAGGAGAAGTCTAGGAAACCTGTTCAGATTTAGGATTTTCTTGCTTGAGAAATCTGGACTACAAGTTTTTAGCCTCCATAGAAGTGTCCAGTGTCTGCCCCCAAAGTCCAGAATTGGTTCATAAGATCTGGTGGAGGAAGGCAGCCATGTTTTAGTTTGGTGCTTGTCAGGAGCGAGCCTCCACTCTGCTTGGTGAGTAGGGAGGAGCCCATGTGAATGAACAGGCACAAAACTAGAGGGATTTGGGGCCATTTAGCCTGTAGAAGCTGTCGTCTTCAGGAGGACGGGGGATGGAACTCGCGGATGGGACTAGGAAGAATCATGACATACAGACTCTTGTGTAGAATTATTTTCCCAAGTCATCTGTTTGGTTTTATTTTCTGCTATTTCTTTGAGAATAATCAAGTGTTTTGTTCTTGCCTTTAAGAAGAATCAGTTCTGAAGTGACATGCCTGTTATGGTTGGTTAAGGAAGTGGTGGCATACCTCTTCCAAAATCCAGCTGTTTCCTCTGTCGGGGGCCCGGCCTGTAGCATGTGGCCCTACACGTGAGCCAGTGGGCTGAGCATACCAGGGGTCAAATGCCATGTAGTGGTTAAACAGAGGGGTGGCTGAGAGGCCAACGACTGGATTAAGAGCTTTTAACCTTCAAACCTGAGAACTAGAACATGTGCATTCTCAAGTGTCATCACTGTTTTCAAATAAACTTGCTTCTTTGGAAATCTCTAGTTTAAACTAGATGAATTCCAAAATAATACTAGGTCCTAAAATCCCTAGCAGACAATGAGGCAATAATAGCAATGATTTTGCTTGATGACAAAAACCACAGCAAATATGTAGAAGGAAAAACCTAAACAAAACCAGTGCTTTTTGAGGAACAGGTTTATCTGACCTGAGACTGAAGCCTCCATCAGTAGGCTGGGCTGTCACTGCCTCAGCATCGAGCCATAGTAGGAGCACCCTGAGTGTGGATGAGGGAGTGAAGATCTGCATCTCTCCAGCAGTGCTTGTGCTGTGGCTCTAAAGTACCACAGCTGATTGTGGAGCAGTTTTATAAGCAACAGGGTACATGTGTTTGGCCTTTTCCCAGGTAGTCCCCTAAGAAGTCATGCTCTTATGTCAACAATGCTGCTACTGCTTAAAAGAAAAAAAGTCTCTAGAACTGCTTATTGGGACCGTTTTGAAACTTCCAGTGGTGCTCGGGAGAGGCTGACCTGGAGGCAGTTCCTATAACAGGGCTGGAAAGGGGAGAGGCAAAGGCAGGAGGACTGGTGGGAAGGTATTTCAGGAGTCTAAGGACAAGTGTGGGAGGTGTGGGCAACGGAGACAGAGGAGGGTGGGTTCAAGATGCTTTGTGAAGGCATGATTGAAAAGTGTCATTGGTACTTGGATATGGAGGCAAAAAATGGCTGTGGATCAGTTGTCTCTGACAGGGTCAAAGAGGCTACCTCTGACAAGACGGTGAGTGGAACTGATCTTGGAGAAAAGATGAAATGTTTGCTTCCAGTGAAAATATCAAGCAGGCACTGGGTCTGGAGGTCAAGAAGGAGGTCGTTACTGGAGATTGATCTGTACTTATTCATGGAACAAACATCATAAAATACCTATAATTATGACAGCTTGCATTTAGTAAGCACCTGTTATACTAGGGACAGTGCTCAACCCCTCTGAGCACTAACTTAATCCTCCCAAAACTCAGAGGTATCAGTGCTCTATTATCCTCACTTTGTAGATGGAGATAAAATGGTCTGAAGGGCAAATTATCCCAACTTCATCCCCAGTTAAGGCTGAATTAAATGAGAGTAGGAAACAAGAAGACATAAATGAAAACATCAATATTATTATCAGTGGAACCAGAATGGAGGATGGAGCTTAGATTTGTGCTAACAGGTGTTTTCCCCACCATCAGGCCTCAGAGCAGCCCCTTTGTGGGCTAGTGTAAGCTTGCAGGGCAGAGGCATTCACCCAGACTGCTGCCTTACACGGGTCTCTCAGGACTTTGGTATGTTTGGTCCTATGTTGTTTCAACAACTTTGGAAAGGTCTGTTGATTTCTGGTTGCAGCAGGTGAATTTATAAAGTGGGGCTGAATTCCTAGGGGACAGACTCCAAGATGATCATTTCAAGAGAAGCTAGCCCTCGGCAGGGCTGGGAGTCAGGGCACTGGCAGCCAACCGTCAGGTGTTCCGAGCGGGCTTCAGGAGCTTTGAGGCCTTGAGGCTTACTCTGCAAAGTGTGGTCTCTGCACCCGCATTTTCAGCGGCTCTCAGCCCTGCTGAATGGGAATGTGCATTTTAACATGGCTCCCCAGGTGGCATGCATGCACATTAAAGTCTGGGAAACACTGCTGGAGCCGTACCCAGCATCTGCCTTGTGCATGAAGGAGAAGCTTGTTTTTCTCCTGGTTGCCCACTGCTCTCAGGAGGCCTTGATTAATATTCTCCTCCCTGCAGAGGCCTTCCTGCTATGAAGGCTGCCAACCAGCCCTTACTTCGATCACTCATTATATCAACAATTTGTCCGTTATTTGGAAGTAGGGAAAAAAAGCCTTCTCAAAACATGCCCTGAAGCTCATGGGGCATATGTGATAACTTACTCAAACCAACCTGATACTTATTTCATTTCCCTGCATAGTCCACTCCAAAGAGTTTTTAGAAAGTAATTTTCTGAAACCTTTGGATAGGCCATTTGTTTCACTATAAGACTTTCTCCCCAGAGGGATTTGTGATTATAACTGGAGTGAGAAAGCTCTGTTATTAGAAATAATATTTGGTCCTAGAAGCCTCTAGAGAACTTGGGTGGGAGAAAGGGCAGGGGAGTGAGAGGTGAGGAGGGGAGAACAAGGGCTCTTGCTGTATCCATAGTTCCCGCTTTTGTACTTTGACCAAGAGGCAGAGAAATCCAGGGAAAAGTCAAGGTTCAGAAAGGTGCTGGTTCTCCCAGAACTGCGCTGTCCAATATGGACACTAGCTACAGACAGCTATTAAAATGAACATTTAAATAATTAAGTGTACATAAATCTAAACAAGTTTACATAAATTCACACTCATCCTAGCTACACTTCAAGTGTTCAACAGCCACATTTCCACCATCAGAAAATTTTGCTAGGGGGAGGGCATAGCTCAATGGTAGAGTGCCTGCTTAGCATGCACAAAGTCCTGGGTTCAAACCCCAGTACCTCCATTAAGTAAGTAAGTAAATAAATAAACCTAATTACCCTCCCCCACCCCAAAAAAGAACGTTCTATTGGGCAGTGCTATTCTAGAAAGTCATATAAGGTTGTAAGGCATGGCTGCTAAGATGTAGTAATTTATTTTCTAATTCAAAATTGAGCTGCACTAAAGGGGCCTGAAAGTCTGCATGGTTTCCCCTAGGCGTGGGTGGGTAAGTGTGCCTTTCGACTCTGTGATGCTTTGAAGACAGAAAGCAAACCTTATAAATTTAATTTCCCTGCATTTCCTCAAATACCCGATCAGAGCACAAACTACCACATCACTGAGCTGGAGAGAAGCAGAAAGGCATCTCTGGGGCTGTCTCCCTACAGGAAAATCCGTCTGCCTCAGGGACTTATCCTACAACACGAGGGAAATCTACTCCACCTGTGTGGGTGAGAGACTGGGAACAACCCAGGCGTCCATCAATGGATTCTATCCATCCTGGCAGCACCCACGCCATGGAGTCCTGTGCAGTCCTGCACCCTTGGCGGGGGGGCCTCGCCTGCTCACCCCTGCTCCAGGCTGGTCTTCCCTCCACCCTCCCTCTGGGCCCTGTCCGAACACTGCCAGGCCAGCCGCAGCCCACCCTCCCCCCACTCAGCCCTCCTCTGTCACCCGTGCTGCTGACATGTGCTTGGTCTCATGCATTTTCCATCTCCTTTCTGGTGTCTCCCTGTGTTAGGTCTTAGCTCCTTAGCTAGATCATGAGCTTCTTGAACCGTGGCTTCTGCTCAGGGTGAGGACCGCCCCCTCAATCTATCTGCTTCTCTCTGTCTCTCTGTTTCTCTCTTCTCCCTCTCGTCTCTAGGCATCTCTGGCCCATAAACACCAGGTCTCCTTGTCAGTCCCCACCCCGGGCACCCACACCAGCAGGATGAGCCTTCACTCTGGAAGTTACCAGTTGACAGCAGGGAGTGGGAGCAGGGGGACACAGTGAGGAGGAACTTCTGGGAACAGGATCAAGCTCTGTTCTCAGAGTCAGAAGTCCTGTGTTTGCGTCCTGCTTCTGTTATTTTTAGGCTATGTGACTTGGGACAGATTACTTGATATCTCTGAACTTCAGTTAGTTCTCTGCGAAATGCAGCTGTACTTGCTCTCCTGAAGGACTGTCTCGAGGGTCAGGTTGGTGTGATTGGTGAGCCGTCTAGTGTCACCCCTGCAAGGCTTTCCTACCACCCGGGCTCTTCAGGACTTCTTGCCGGGAGCTCATGGAGAAGGATACTGGAGAGCACCTCCCACCCGACTCGGAACCACAGCGTGGTCTGTGGAGGAGGCGGGGTGGGCTGGGGAGGCCGGGAGTGCCTAAAGACTCATCACCCCGGTGTCTTGACTCACATGTCCTTGGCACTGGTTTCTATCTGAGTGAGTGGATGTGCTGATTAGTTGCACTTGGTGAACCAGAAGCACAACCAAAATATGTTGCTCTGTGGGATTTGAAAAAATTAACAGAGCAGTGTGGGGTGATGAGTGTGAAAACACATTCCGGTTTTAGTTTTCAACCATTAACACGTATGTTCCGAAAGCCAGTCTGGGAAAACACGCTTCTGTCAACTCCACAGTTAGCTGGCTGTTGCCCCCTCCCCCTTAGCACTGATGTGGGGGAGGGAGACAGGAGGGTGGCACCTGTCATCCTCTGAGGGGCAAGCAGCGGACTGGAAACATCTTTGGATCTGTGAAGGCTTGACCTTGGAGGAGCTGTGTGACCTTGGGCTAGTTCCCGCCCTTCTCTGAGCTTCTGTTTCTCACCTGTAAAGTGCGGACCTCCTTTATAGGGTCTTGTGAAGACTAAATGTAAAGTATCTAGGACCTTGCCCGGTCCACAGTGGGCTTCCAGTCAACGCAAAGTCGCACTATCACTTCAGCCAGTCCGGAACAGGAAACAGAACCAGACCCCTGTTGCTGTGGGTTTTCTGTTATAGCTGAACTTAATCCCACTAATGCACTTGCTTGACAAATAAATCCCCCACATCTCTCAGGAAAGGAATCCAAAGTCACAAGCCCCAGACTTCCTATACATGGCCTAGCCTCTAAGCCTGTTTTGTATTTTACCAAAATAACTACCACTCTCTCAACGAACATTCTCGGCACTCCTTAACAGTCAGTTTTCAAAGTCCGTATACAACAAGCTTCGCGTCTGGCCGGAGGGGCGGAAATGGAAGTGTGAGAGATGTGCTCTTAGAAAGGGAGGGGGCCCCCTTGCCTCTTTCTGCACTGTTTTTACTTACACTTATGGCACCAAATGTGCAGTTTTTTTTCCTTCTCCCCACACCAGCCAATTGTCCAGTTCTCCAGACACCAGACATTGGGTGTCCTGCAGTTCAGCTCAGTTCTGACACTGTGACCTTTTGGAGTTTTTATTTGTATTCAAAAATCAAACAGTGAAACAGTGCAAATGGAGAGTTGTAGTATTTTTGCTTGATAAATGCAAATTTTAGCTCATTGATTTTTAGTATGTAAAAAGTGGGATGTGTTAAAATATGATTTGCCATGGGTATCAAATATGCTGAGTGAGGAGGGGTGCTCATAAGAGTGGAGAAACCAGGGAAAACTGGGCTGTCCCAGGCAAACTGGCTGTCCCATTATTGATTAAAGGTCGAAGGATGATTCTTGGGGGAAGAGTTCTTCCTTTCCCACAGACTAGGAAAGACCAGTCCCAGGAGAAGGTGGGGGGGTGGAGAGGGGACACTGATGGGAGGACCACCAGGAAAGAGGAGGGGTCCAAGGGTGACCTGATACATCCTTTAAAAATATGCATATAGTTGAATTTAAGTGCAATTAATAATGCACATGAAGTTTTGTAACTGGCTTTAAAAATGTATAATATGGTAAATCTTTTCATGTCATTACTTTTTTCAGTAATATTATTTTTAGTGGCTGCCATCTTTGTCTCCTCAGTTCCCTTCTGTGTGTCTCCCTGCCTCATACCATACACAAAAGAAATCCCAGATGCAATAAGAAGTCAGCATGAAAAATAAGTCCTGAAACTATTAGAAAAGAATGGAAAACTATCTTTAAGATCTCAGGTAGGGAAGGTGCTTCTAAATAAGATTACCACCCCACTCCCCAGCCACGAAGGGAAAGAACAATTTGATGTCATTTTCAGGATGACCAGAGATATCACCATAAAAGTGAAAAGACAAGGAACAAATATGTAATGTATACAAAAGGCACGGGATTAGTAACCAGACATTACAAAGAACTGCTCCAATGAAAGAAAAGGGCAAATGGCTTAACAGAAAAAAATATGAACAGACAATTTACAGAAGAGGACATCTCAATGCTAACACACATGGAATCAGGGAACTTAAGATTGAAACAACTTTGGGATACCATTTTCACTCATCAGACTGAAAAAATCAAGTCTAACAATATTGAGTATTGATGAGGATAAAAAGAAAAATGGTCATTTCATATACCGACAGTGGGAGAGAGTGATTCGGCAGAACCTGGTAAAATAGAAAATGTGTGTAGATTGTTGCCCAGCAATTCTATTTCAGCATTTATACCCAAGAGAAACGCTTCAACTTGTGCACGAGGAGAAGTGTGCAGGGTTGGAAACAGCCTGAGTCTTCATGAGTAGGGAGAGGGTAAATGGGATGTGTCGGGACGGGGGGTGGGGTGGGGGGGTGTCTCAAGAGGACTTGCTGTGCAGCGGTTGAAAGGAATTACTGAGAAGAATGGGATGCAGAGGAATGCCCTTAGCAGGGTAGCATTTATGAAAATCTAACCAACTTATTTACTGGGTAGGAATAGAAGTTGATACTTACATATTTAACTGGAAATATCATGTAAAGCATGCAATTCGATATATGTATACATCAAAAATTAAGAATATATTCTCTTTTATTCTCTTGGTGGTAGCACAAACGGTTCATTAGAAAAATCGGATGATTTCCAAATGATTTTGTTCATGTTTAGGAATTGTTGGTGTGAGCTTCTGTTTGAGGTGGCTGACCTCCTTAAATGATGCAGCTGTCTGGGCCATGATGTGATACAGGAAGTGGCATCAAACTCTTCCAGCAATGTCACTATTTAATTACTGTCCTTAGGTAACTTGTAGCCTCAATAAGTGGAACATCTTTCCAAATGTCAATGATATTATAAATGGTGTTGGTCTCTTCAAAGATTCTGCTAAACTAACAGCAATCAAATCTTTTATAGGCCTTATAAAATTATCTGAGCTTTCTATATATTCCACATCCCTACTATGAACTACATCACTGAAAATCATTCCTTGATTTAGTTAGGTGAAGTCTAATCTCTCAGGGTGCATGCTGGCCCAGTGCATGGGCTCTGTAGCTAGATTGTCTGGTTTTGAATCCCGGGCTCTGGCACTTAAGTTTTAAAGACCTCTGTCCTCAGATTCCTCATCTGTGAAAATGGCATGATGATGATGATATTGATAATTCTCAATGAGATATAAACCTTTAAAATGGTACCTCAGTCAGGTGGTACTGTGTGTCAGCTCTCATTTTATTAAGTAAGATCGTTAATGCCAGTGGATGGGCAGTGTCCTGTTAAAAGGAGGTGAAATTCAATAGGAATTACAGAAAGAGGGACCTATACCCCGGGTGGCTCTGACCCTGAACCACCTCTACAGCTCTGGGCCATCCTGTATCCCCTCCTCCTGTCACCTGGGTGACCTATCCCAGAAATGGCAGCATTTGACCAGTGAGTGGGCCTCTTGCTGCCCACCTGTTTTCCTGCCTTAGTGTCAGTCCTGCAGTTCCCACATGTGGCCATGTGGGGGCGACCCCAGGGGAGTGGCAGTGGGAAGTGGGCAGGCAGGAGATTAGCAGTTTATAGCTTTGTTTTACACATAACCGCGCGCGCGCACACGCATGCACGTGCGCACGCACACACACAGTAAATGCAATTCAGTTAACAAATTTGTTATTCTTTTCTGACCAAGTTATACATTTAAAAACAGAAACAGATTCATGGATACAGAGAACAAACTAGTGATTGCCAGAGGGGAGAGGAGTGAGGGGGGAGGGTAGGGCGAAACAGGTGAAGGGTATTAAGAGGTGCAAACTTCCAGTTGTAATATAAGTAAGTTACAGGGATGTAATGCACAGCATAGAGAATATAGTCAGTAGTACTGTGATAACTTTGGTGACAGATGGTAACTAGACATATCATGGTGATCATTTTGTAACATATCTTAATATTGAATCACTATGAGATACACCTGAAACTAATATGATGTTGTATGTCAATTATTCATCAAAAATTATACACTTAAATACATCAACTTGATATCAAATAACGAATTTATATATTGCTCTATTTCAAAAAGGATCAGAGATAATAATACCAAATATGATTCAATGAGTAAAATAAAATGGATTAAAGATCTAAATGTAAGACCTGAAATCATAAAACTTAGAAGAGAACATAGGCAGAACATTCTTTGCCATAAGTTGTAGCAATATCTTTTGGATTTGTCTCCCTAAGGTAAAAGAAATAACAGCAAAAAATAAACAAACGGGAATTAATTAAACTTAAAAGCTTTTGCACAACAAAGGAAACTATTGACAAAATGAAAAGACAACCTATGGAATAGGAGAAAATATTTGCAAATTATGTGACCAATAATGAGTTAATACCAAAAATGTGTACACAGCTCATATGACTCAGTATCAAAAAAAACCAACCTGATCAAAAATGGGCAGAAAACCTGAATTGCCATTTTTCTAAAGAAGACATACAGATGGTCAACAGGCACATGAAAGGATTGCTAATTATTAGAGAAATGCCAATCAAAACAACAATGAGATACCACAACTGTCAGAATGGGTGTCATCAAAAAGTCTTCAAATAACAAATGTTTGCGAGGATGTGGAGAAAAAGAAACCATTTACACTGTTGGTGGGAATGTAAATTGGTGCAGCCACTATGGAAAACAGGATGGAGGTTCCTCAATAAACTGGAACTAGAACTACCATATGACCCAGCAATTCCACTCCTGGATATAGGTCTGGAAAAATTGACAACACTAATTTGAAAAGATACATGCGCGCCAGTGTTCATAGCAGCACTGTTTACAATAGCCAAGATATGGAAGCAACCTAAATGTCCATCAACAGGTGACTGGATAAAGAAGATGTGGCATATACACACACACAATGGAATATTACCCAGCTGTAAAAAACATGGAAATTCTGCCTTTTGCTACAACATGGATGGACCTAGAGAATATTATAATTAGGGAACTAAGTCAGATAAAGAAAGACAAATGCTGCATGATATCACTTATATGTGAATCAAAAAAGTAATACAAATGAATGTATATAGCAAAAGGGAAACAGACTCACAGATACAGAGAACAAACTAGTGGTCACCAGTGGGCAGAGAGAAGGGGGGAGGGGCAAATTAGGAGTGTGGGATTAAGGGACACAAACTGCGATGTATAAAATAGATAAGCAACAAGGACATACTGTATAGCACAAGGAATTATAGCCATTATCTTGTAATAATGTCTAACGGAGCATAATCTGTAAAAAGTACTGACTCAGTATGCTGTGCACCTGAACCTAATATCATATTGTAAATCAACTACACTTCAAAAAAATTGTAAATTTCCTGCTCAAGGAAATAAACAGCTAGTGATGTAATTTCAGGTATGGCCACTGCAGTTGGACAGATCACTTGGACAGGGCTCCTCCCAGGACTGGTCAGGCTGCACTGGGTGGATGAGGGCTGGCCTGGTGGAAAGAGAGGCCCAGCACCATAACCCAGTATCAGGGCTGCTGCAGACCAGTGGAGGGGACGATCTGGGAGGGAGGCAGTGGGCGGGTGTTGAGGTCCTGGAGGTGCAGGTGTGAAGTTGGAGGGACATGACCTTTACGCCATCTCCCCTTCTTGACCCCGTTAGTGTGAAACTCTGATGGCACGTGCAGCCACCCGGGCCAGGGGACAGGAGGCTCCTGCAGCCCTTGCACCAGAGAGGGGCGCTTTCTAGGTGTGGGGAGGCCCAAGTGCCCCGAAGCTTACCCAGGGGACCTCTCTGCCATTGGCCCTGTGGGATGCGGGAGATGGGCCACTTTGCATCTTGGTTTCTCTGACATGTCTCCTTTGGCTTCTCTGACTGGCACCACCACCTCCTTTCCTCTTCCTGACAGGCTTCTGGAAACCCTCCAAGGTTGTCCCCTCCTGAAGCATTTCTATTTTCAAAGGAGGTAGTAGGGCAGCTGGAGAGGGCAATGCTCTTAACTCAAAAGATGCACTAAAAACTAGAGTGTGACGAGCACCTACCACGTGTCAGGAGCTTGCAGGGCATAACCTCATTTAATCCCCACGACAACCCTGGAAGGTTTTACTTCCCCACTTAACAGATGGGAGAGTGGAGGTTTGGGGGCTTCGAAGGTGAGTTACTTGGTCAAGGTCACAGAGCTGCTGCCTCTCTGGTGGGACTGCACTTGAAAGCACGTTGGGTACAGTCTAAACCCCCTGGCCATTCCTCAAGACAGCACCGCTTCCCCTTCCCTCCCCCTCCCTTGGGCCCCTGGCCTCCAGAGCCCACCTGGAGCCAGGGCCCTCGCCCCTTGCCCAGGCGCCTGGGCTGCGGTGGGTGGTGGAGGAAGGGCTTGCTGGTCCCAGCTGCCCTTCTGCGGCTTGAACAGGAAAGAGACAAAGGTCCCATTTTAGAGCTGCTGTCTGTTTCCATGTCTCTAGTTGCTGAACCACCAGGAGGAAAAGCATTTGAGGTATTTCCATGGGAAATGGTAGCCAACAAAAGCGCCGTTGGGTGGTATTCTAGTTAATTGCAGGAAGGCGGGCAGCCCTCCAGGATATTACCTTTCTTGGGCTGGAAAGTGTTTCTTTGAAAAACGTTTCGGTTCAGCCGAGGCCTCCTAAGTTTTCGCAGATTTGCTTGTTCATAACTACGAAGTCACCGAGTTGGTCCTTGGGGGGCTGGGGAGAGTAGGGTGGGAGGCAGGGAAGGCGGGAGGAAACCACTCCGATGACAACTCTTTGCTAAATGATGGCTGGAAAACACTGGATTATATTTCCCAGCCGGTATAAATTCCTAAAGGGGGCCATTCCCCCAAGGCCTGCCTCCCCCAGACGGAAACAGAA